ATATATATATATATATATATATATATATATATATATATATATATATATATATATATATATATATATATATACATAATTATTATTATTATTATTAGAGGCGTACATGAAGGCGATGTCAAACTACTGTATAAGAAGGTTGATTTGTAACCTAAACTGTGTTTTTTGGACAAGGATGTTTTTAAATTATTATTATTTATTATTAATCCTTATTCTTAGCAAATTATCCGATTATCACTGTGTAAATTATCCCTGTGTATTTGCAAAAGCAATAATTAACCTCTTTACGTAGCATTACGCATCCTTAACATAGTCATGTTCTTATGCATCCTTTAGCGAAATGCTTTCGTAATTCATTGTCAAAAAACTACAGGCTTTCAGTGTGACAACTTATCCCCATGAACCCAAAAGGTTAAATATAAGTTAAATGCCTTGGAAATACAATGGTAATAAAGCCTCTTTTAATGTGTTTTTTCAAACGTTCACTGTACAAAGTGACAACTTACTCCAGCCTCCCCTACTAATACATTTTCACTGTAGGTTCTCACACACTAAAATATTTATTTTGTGTTACTGTTACAGTAGGTGAGTGATAATACTCCTTTGTTCAAGCTGCAAGACTTCCCGCATTGCATCATTGCAATGCTATATTACAAGAGATGTGCAGATAATTTGAGATTATCTGTTTCAGATAACTGTAAACAGTCTGCACAGCAAACGTATCTTAAAGCCAAGCTGTGGTTTATTTTTTGGTGACTCTGCTTTTGGTGACATTTTGCAGCACTGGATAAACTCTTTCTGGTGATAAACTGGATAAACTCTTTCTGGTGATAAACTGGATAAACTCTTTCAGAGATATTTGTGGTTTGGCAGCAGTCTAATATATATATCGCATCTCTTATCCTGCACTGCTTATTGAACTGAAAACAAATACTTCTTCAGATGAGATGAGATTTCTGGTGAAGTTCGAAAAACATGTAAATTAATTCATGTTGGAGGCAGTATAGATAATACTGTATAAGCAGCACATAGTTGGTGTTTGGTATTCATGCATTCTGGGGAAAAAAAGTTAATTTTGGCAATGTGACCATTTTTGTTGCACATACTGTATTTTTTCAGCAATCAAGGATTCTTCAAAAAATGCAGTCATTAACAACAATCAGTCACAACATGAACTCAGTTGCAATTTCAATTTCAGAAGTGCAGCTTTTATTTAACAGTAGCTTTCCAGTAATATGTTACTTTTTCAAATAAGTAGCAGTGTAACGTGACAAACACTGCATCTATTTTTTGTAATGGAAAGCAATATTGTGCAAACTAATCAAATGTGTTAGCCTGCACACCCACTTCCTCTGGAAAGTCCGACTCATTTGTATTGGTTCAATCAGACGCTCATTCAAATGCACCGGTTAAATAAAACGATAGATAATGATTCATTTGTATCCCTATTCAAAAGTTGGTGCTGCATTTTACATGTTCTTTTTTGTAGCCGTATACAAAATAATAGTATAATGTTTATTGCAATCATTTTACAAAAAAATATGTTATATAAAAAGCTATGTTAATGCAGTTACTTAGTCTACATAATGCTTTTAACTACATTTATTGGTGTTTAAATGAGATCCTCAGTGTTTTTGCCCGATAAATAATGCAAACATAAATACTGTAAATATACATAAGAAGTAAATAAACATTTACAAGTAATTAGCTAAATAAATAAATATACCTTCTTAAAAATAAATTAACTTTTACAAATACAGTAAATAATAAATAAGTGCAAAATTATATGTGCATTTTCTTTTCTCTTAAAATTTCCATGGAACCCTTCCATGGCTCAGTTTGTTTATTTGTTACAGTTTTTGAGAGCGAGTGTGACTTCCACCTGCATAATCAACATTAAGTGTAATGTCTTGCAAAAATTCGATAATGGAACATGTTTTAGCCAGATTTGTAAAACGTGTTATGTGTGGGATCATGTTTTACTTTTTCTATTGCTGAAAAACATGAAATGTTAAGCAATATACAACACATCAAAGTGGACAACTTTTAAAATTCCTCCAGCTCATTGTCACTTTCTTAATCATATGAATAACTAGGCTCACAAGCCTGTGACATCAGCACAAACTTTCCCAATTGAGTATATTGCGCAATTCCCTCTGACTCTTTAAAAGAGCTGCATGTTCCACAATGTGGACAGAATTCACCAACAGATCTGAGCGCTGAGAGATCAAATCTCTAGCATCCAAACTAGATTTACTTTTACATTTTGTTAGCTTTTGGCAGAATGCACTGCAAAATCTTTTCCGTCTCTGTTATTGTTTTTCTGGGATTCCTGACCATTGTTGAAGGTAAGTGAATTGCAGTAATTTGGTAATATTATAGGTTAATCAGTAACCATAGCTAGTACAAATGCACTTTTACGTTATGCATGTATGTGATGAAAAATGTACGCATTATTTTGCTTTTAGGAATGAGTCTTAGAGGTCTGGGTGTAGATCCACGCTGTCGCTGCATTGAAACAGAGAGTCGACGCATTGGAAAACACATAGAGAGTGTGGAGCTCTTCCCTCCAAGCCCACAATGTAAAGACACAGAGATCATGTGAGTTTTCACACTAATAATGCTTTAACCCTTGCAGATTACAAGTTTAGAATAAATCCATAATGATTCAGATTAATATAATAGTAAATTGGGTTCTTACTGGTTGTTCTCTGTATTTCTAACACAGTGCCACCCTGAAGGGATCCAGAAAAGAGATCTGTCTGGACCCTACTGCACCCTGGGTTAAGAAGGTCATTGAGAAGATCATTGCCAAGTAAGTGTCAGTAAATCCTTACTATGTGTGTGATGTCTAATGCTGAAAAAGTACAACAAATTAATAAGTACAAACTATCAGGTCTCATCGCATTTGTCAAGGAAATAACAATAACAAATACCTTTTTTGTTTTGCAGCAAAGCACCATGAATGTTTGGATCATCTGTGAAGTTGAGCCTGATGATATGGATGATATTGCCACATCTGACATGTCAACCTGTGGGAAACCGATGGGCACAGTCCTACTGTTTGGTTTGGTTTCAAAGAGTGTGCTCAATATTGAGTGTTGTTAAAATATGTGTTGAGTGTTGTATTTATATTTATGTATGTATTTATTATATTTTTTAAATAAAATGATTTTATAAAAATGTTCAGCATTTCTTTGTTTATTTAACATATTTACATATTGATCTTTTTTACTATATATATATATATATGAATAGTCATTATTATGAATACGCATAATGAAACTACTCACTCTTTTTCAACCACTTCCACAAAACCTCCTGATTCATTTTTTTACCACTGCATGACTAGTGCTGTTTTGTTGGATCCAAACCCCCCAGTTATTTATAAATATGACAATGAAATATCAAGCCTAAATATCACTTCACTTCTTTTTACCAAATAAGGTTTAACCGTTGTAAATAGAGGATTTACTCTGACTCTTGAGTCCTTATAGGAAGAAAACACTATATAATGTGTTCCATATATAATTTGTGTCTTTCATTTTATAATTGTCAGTTATGGACTTTTGGTTGTGTTTCTCTGTTCCTGTTATCCTGCCTTGTGTAGTTCCATTGCCTTAATTTCTGTTCAGTCCAGTGATGGTTATGATTTGCAGCTGTTACCCATTCATTAGTCTCCTTATTTATATTCCCTGTTCTGTTCAGTCATGGCCGGTTATTTTTTTTAACCATTTTTTCTACGTTTGCTCCTGCGATTCTCCTGTGTGTATTCCTTGTGGATTTATAAATAAAAGACTATTTTTGGATTATACTCCGTCAGGTGTTTTAAATAGCACTACATGTTACAATAATAACATTCATTCCATAAGTTATAAATATGAAATTTTTTAAAAATGCAGTTATGTTTAGAACTCAGTTAAACTGCCCTGGAAATGATGAAGTGGATTTAAAGGTTCTATAAAACGTGAAAGTAGGTTTTTATATGTGTTCAAGCAACTCGTTCTACTATCAGTCTACCAGAGCATTGCCCTGCACTCAGTAGGTTTGAAAGGTACATCTGGCAAACTTGTAGCTGCACAAGACTGCACATGTTGCCACATGAAGACTTGTTACCACATCAAGAGAAAACACCATACTGTTGCACCGTCAGGCACACCGCCATTATCTGCTGCTAATTTCATTGCACATTGGCTGATGACAAGCATTTCAGTATATTACAGGAAATATTCATGGCTGTAATTTTTGCTTAATAAATTAAACTGTAAAAAACAATGTGGGGGCAATAAATCAAGACAACAATATTAGTTTGCTCTAAAAAACATAACAGACATTGTCATGTTGGCTAATAAAACATATTTGTTTTATTAGAAATGTTTCCATCATCGATGTTTCTAGCTTTTTAGTTTGAACTTAATTAAAAATGTATAATTTTTTGAGGAATGGACATGAACGTTAATTAATAAAATGAAATAAAATTTGTGCTTCCTTGTCTAAAACAACAACTTAAAGGGGTAATGAACTGCCTTTTTTTATTTTGTACTGTTCTCTGAGATCCACTTATAATGTTATCAAGATTTTTACATCAAATACCTCATAATTTAGATGTAATAGGCTATTTTCTGTCCTGTTTTGACCCCCCTCACCGTCTTTTCCCATATAGCACACATACATCTGTAAGATCTCAGTTAAAGATTGCTTCATCTGGAAAGCATCTGTTGTGTACAAACATCTTCTGATAGACATCTTTAAGATGTCAGTTTTACATACATTCTAAATCATAAACATCTTCAAGACATCTTCTGAACGTCTATTTGACATCTGACAGGAAATGTCCTATAGACGTATTGTAGACGAGCAAACACTCATTGTCTTGCAGATGTAAATGCAGACGTCAAATAGACATCTCCGTGATGTGTGTGCTGTCAGGGTTTGAATAGGTGTAGCTGTAGACTAATGAGAGACTAACGAGAACGTTTTGAGTTCTGAAACTTACAGAATGTTTTTATAGTACAATGACCTTTTATACGTCAAAAGATCAAGGGAATTTTGATTTCTCAGTTCATAGAAGATGAGTTCATTAACACAAGATGTTAATTCACAAAATTCAAAATGCATTCATTATAAAATGATTTAGTAATGTTTCACAAGTGTGACAAAGCCAACCAGGAATTAGTCTTGTGTAACTTGTGATAATTCCAACATAAAGTCAGTGGCTCATTTAAAAATCAAGAATGGCAAGTATAGATGGACATGACTGGCTGTGTTAAACTATATAAGTCTTGATATAGGTTTACCAACAATGTGCATTGAATTGCATCTCTTTCATATTATTGAACTGATTAGTTCAATTCTTCATGTTTTTCCTTTTTTCTTTGTTTTAGGCTTGACAGGCAGCCAGATAGTGAGGGTTAAAATCATATTTTTATGAATGAGAAATGCTTAATGGATTTCATTTCATCATACATAGTAATAATCTGAATATCAGATACAACTTTGAGTCTTGCTGGTCCACTCTATGCATGGCTCACCAAAAGAGTTTAGCTTTAACTTGCTTCTTTCCTTTATCCATCTGTTTTTCCTTTCATATTTATCCTTTCTTCTTCCTCTCCGCTGTCTACCAGCTGTTGCCAGTGTTTTCTGTTCCTTCTGCAACCTTCTTTTAAAGGGGAACAGGACTCACAAATGCTGGCCAGGGCCTGGGAAAGAAGGGAAAAGAGACAAACAGAAGGTACAAACCTGCAACACAAAGGCACAGCATTGCAGCAGAAAGCTCTCTTACTCACTAAACACACATACTGACACACATTTCTAACAGGATGTGTGCGAGCAGGCCCTCACCTCAGAGTGGAGAGCGAATCCCGTTGATATAATCAACCTGCATGTGGGGTAAATGTATGGAGTTTTTAGTCCATCATATCCTTTAAGAAAGAGATTCAACCTTTGATTCAAACTTCTGATAAAACGACACACCTGTAACATTTTGTGAAAGATCATTTGTCACCCTCCCTCTTAAATATAGAGTCTTCCTGTACAAAAGTAAAAAAGTAAACAAGTAGAGGAAGTTAACACATAACTCTAGACTTACATTTGGCTGAATGTTGAATTCACACTTTTCTCTGTCTCCTTGTGCATAAAATCCTGTTGCTACAAGTTCAGCAAGCTGTCGAGGTAAAGTGAAAGAAAGATAAATTTGTGTATGTGCGTATATAAGTGTGTGTTTCTATGTGTGTGCTTGCATGCACATGTGGTTGTGGTGTACCTGCATGCATGCATGTAAATGTGTGTGGGAGAAGCTCACCCACTTCTGAACAGGTCATGGTTTGGTTATTGCACATATGTTGCTTGCTGTCATTAGCATTGACCTATTTAGATCAATAGAATCAGTTAATATAGAGACAGGAAGTGAACATCACTTAATATAGACACAGGAAGTGGTCATAAGCAAAAAATGTGGTCAAAGTTTCCTGCTCTTACGCTGTGCTTACAGTGAAATATAATGAGAGCAGATAAAAGAAAGCAAATAATTCTTAGAGTGTTTGTGTTGTTAGAAGAAGACAATATAAAAATGTATATGTACTGTAGATTTTTGGTGGGTTGTGTAAGAATGTGTGTCAGGTGAAATTTAATTTCTATTAAATGTTTTAATTTATTTATTTTATAAATGTGTGAATATTGTGCATTAATGTGCATATTCTTCAAAAATATATTTTTACCTCAGCAGTTCTCTATGTCCTTCATCTTTCCAAAGACAGCTGTTATTCTGAGCGAGTTTAAAGAACATAGTTCTCTTCCTATAGAAAAACAAAAACATACAGACACACAAACAATTTAGGTCGTTGCGTTTTAACATTTTGTGTGAACAGCTGTGTTTAGAGCTTGAACTGGAAAAGGATTATAGCTTACTCTATATAGATAGCAAGGTCTGTTGTCAGAATGTTCTTCTCAATCATCTGCGGCACAGGCCCTGTATTCCTTCAATGAGAGCGAACTGAGAATCTGACTGCCCTGAAAGAGAAGAAGGGTGAGAGGTATGAAACCGTTGTACATGGACATGGATTCATAACTGTATGAGGGCCAGATAGATACCTAGATGGGTGGACAAACAGATGGATGGATGGAATCTAAGGAGACAATGGATGACAGGACAACATGATTGATGGATTTTGAATAGATGTTATGGATGGATGGGTGAATGGATGTTGCTATGAATGGATAGATGTTATGGATGGATAGATGACTGGACAACAAGATGGATGGATGAATGTCATTGATAGATGGATAAATGGATGCATGTTATGGATGGATTGATGTGTAGATGTTATGGATAAACAGACAGACAGATAGATGGATGTACAGATGGATCTTATAGGGTTGTTGAGAATGAGAAGGCACATGTCATAATGATGGTGCTCCAGCGATGAGTGACCATACAGCTGTGCTAGAGGCTGGTTACTTCTAAGACATCGAGAGAGGAAGGGGGAAAAGAGAACAAGAAAAACAGGGGGTCAAAAATGCACAACAGACTGTAACATTGCATTTATTTATCAAGCCGTAATTTACCAGGACAAAATATTAAGGTAATTTACAGTGTTTAAATATGTATTCTTGAGTAGTTATTCAAGTAGTTTTTAATTAGAAATCATAATGTGGCATCTCAAATACCAATGCAGCACTACAGAGTGGCCACACTTTAAAACGTATAAATGGCATTGTATAAATAACAATGGCATTCACAGATGCTTAAATGTGTTCAAATACTTGTTAGGCTAATCTAAATTGAGATCCAGGAACATACGCACAACGGCCTGAGTCATGGCAGTCTGGGACATATCAAAATCCCTGAAGCCAAAATCCAGTAAACGGAGGGCATCTGCTGACGGGATGACGGCATCCTAGTGGAGAGAAAAGTGAAGGGAAATGGGAAAACTAATAAGACATTTAAAATTACACAATGTCCTGCGTTGAAGTGCAACCGACATAAGAATAGGCCTAAGCAACTCTAACCACAGGAAGTTGCAAGTTCTCTCTATCACATCAACATTTACGGTCCTTAATGCTGTTGCACAACAATTCAAACAAGTTGATTGAGTCTTGTGCAGATGTAGAAGGATAGTAGGTACTTTTTTAAAGAAAAATAAAAGGAAGTACTAAAAGGAGAGTTTCAGTACCTCTAGGGTATCAATTTCTTTTTGTGAAGCAGAGATTTGATAAGATAAGACCTGTAGGTGTAAGCATACACACACACATACACACACACACACACACATATATAATTATATTATTATTCTAGTAAAAAAAATTCAAAGCTGTAAATAAAACAAAGATTATTGGAGTACATTTTACAAGAAAATACTATTTCAGTCTGTCTACTTTAATATGTCATATTTAATTCAATGTGTTCCTTTAATTATTTGTGAAATTTACTAGCAATTTCTAATTGAAAACTGTTTCTAACACCAAAAATACTATTTTTTTCAGTGTAGCATTTAAAATGAGTTTTTAGTGTTTTACTATTAATTTATTTAGACAAAAAAGTATAACATTTTAATATTTGACATACATTTGTTATCAGTTTATCTGCGCATTGCTTACTACTTCATACGTACTGTGTTATTTTGGGATGCATAAATTCACTTGTAGCGTTTAAAATGATTTATTTTAGCATTTATTTATTTTTATTTAGACCAATTAGTATAGAAATGTAATATCTGCCATTTACTGGTTATCAGTTTATCTATATAACAGTATTGGCTGTTTATTCATATCTGTGCATAAATATTAATATCTATGCAAAAATACAATAATGAAATCTAAATGAAACACACTATCTTTAAAAATGTAATAAGATATATATTCAACCAATTCCAAGAAAATCATCCTTATCTTCATTTTCAGACACATTCAACACTGGTTTCCATTTTCATTATTGGAATTACATTATTATAAATATTTATTTGTTTACACATTTTTCATTATTGAATAGTGCAGTAAGATCTTTGAAGCCACCTCAGATTTATAGTCTGTAAACTGTTAGAAGCTCTAGATCTAGCTCTGAATAACTTGGCACATTATGGAAAATTTAAAGCACCTTGGATTAAAACTCAATCTGTATTGAGGACAAAAAATTAGTTCAGGTCAGTCCTGGAATGGCTCGAGTAATCTCCAGCATTTCTGTTACAAGGGGAATCCTGGACCAGAGTCCAGCAGTGACCTAAACTGACTGTGTAAAAGCCAGATTAGACTTGACATGGAACACCCCTCATTTATTACCTCACAAGCATTCCTGATGTTAAGTGGCCTCCCAGTGCTGACCATGTATCCCATAATGCACTTGTCGCACTCTGCCTGTGTGTAGCCGTAGACAGACTCCTCATCTGATTGGAAGATAGGACTCAAACACTTTACCTGTTTTGTCCACTGTTGTCATGGAGAGACAGCAGCGCTGAGCCTGAGTAATCTCACAGAGGTGCTGTAGGATCTGAAGACAGATGTGTTTGTTTTGTAGAGATCTAATCGGACCACCAAAGAGCCACATCATGAAGTTACAGGCCTCACCTCTTTTACACTGTCCCGGTGGTCTTGGGGAGCTCAGAGAATGTGGCAAACACTTCTACCTTGACATACAAGGTGAAAATGGAAAGCATGTAGACTGTAGTGACCGAGGAGAACAACCCCTGGCCTGATCCAGACACACAGGATCATCAGTCTGATGGACGGAAAGGCAAGAGCGTGGTCTTTCCATTGTGGCAGGGTACACATGCCCTCGAGAAGGCCCACAGACAGGATGGGACACTCTACGTCTGCCAAGAATATTCAACCTAGACCTTGGCTCAGTTTTTAGGGTTTGGGCATCTTGGGTTCTTTCTACACAGCCATGCACCCAATGTCTAAGAAAAGACATAATAGCAGGTTAGATTGCACTACTAGCAATTTGGGAATAGCCTGTATATCTTGATGCTGTTGCACAACAATTCAAACAAGTTGATTGAGTCTTGTGCAGATGTAGAAGGATAGTAGGTACTTTTTTAAAGAAAAATAAAAGGAAGTACTAAAAGGAGAGTTTCAGTACCTCTAGGGTATCAATTTCTTTTTGTGAAGCAGAGATTTGATAAGATAAGACCTGTAGGTGTAAGCATACACACACACATACACACACACACACACACATGCAAAGCACAGTGCGAATAGGAAAAGAAAAACTAAAATCTGTAGAACTTTTACATTTTAGATTTTCCAGTGTATATCAATCCTGGTATTGTGTGATTGTTGAGTCAGCATTCAGATCACTTGCTCATTATTCTGACAATATGAAGTGATTTCCAGTGACTCAAAAGGAATGTCATCATGGCATTTCATACCTCTTTAGTCACAGCCAGCTTGGCTCTGTATTTATCTGCCGTCTGCTTCGTGTTGAAGTTTTGTAATCCCAGAGCACAGTAAACCGCAAAGTCCTCCAGGAGGTGCTCATCAGCTCGACTAAAAACTTAGTCTCAGTGAGAGCCATTTTATTGACTAGCTGGCACACACCTATATGAAGAAAGCATAAAAAGAATGTGTCTACAGTCTAAACAGACTATTTTCATACCAATATCATTGTCAACCCTCTAAATTCCTGTGGAGATTCACAGAATGGGCTGTACTATTTGTATCTAAACTGAGAAAAACAACAAGTGAGATCTTTTTAATTGCATCAGTGAGACTGAAAAAAGAGCAAATGGAAACAGATTTTCCGAGATCAAAAGTCTTTCTAAACCAAATGATCTCAACTATGTTGTTCCATGTTAAATATATAGTTATCTTACTGTATGCAATATATTATAATACGGGCATATATGTGCAAAAGAGAAAAGTCTGAATTTAAAAAATCCTCTGGGAAAGCGTGATGACTGAGAGCTTTGGTTTGTTGGATCAATACTAGAGACTGTGGATATTTGATGTTATTTCCCTGTTTGCCTCTCAGAGGTGTGCTGATCAAAATCCTGATCTGAGAGAGAACACACAAAAACAGTTCATGTCAGAAATAGAGGTAGCACTTTAGTTTAGAAACCAATTCTCACTATTAACTAGTTGCTTATTAGCGTGCATATTACTAGCATATTGGCTGTTTTTTAGTTCTTATAAAGCACATATTAAGGCTTTATTCTACATGATCATATTCTAGATCCCTTAACCCGACCCCATGCCTAAACTTAACAACTACCTTACTAACTATTAATAAGCAGTAAATTAGGAGTTTATTGAGGCAAGTTAATAGTTATTTAATAGAGAGAACTGGTCCCCAAACTAAAGTGTGACTGAAATAGACATGGAAAATCCCAGATAAGAGGTACTTTTTGGTCACATGATGATATGGTTTTCCCTAAAGTGACAATAAATATATATAAAAAGGAAGAAAAACTATGAAAATATGTCATTGATTTCCATGTAGACATATGATCCCAATCTGTCCATTAGCAAAATTATTTATACCAGCACTCCAGGTGTTATTAATAATATTATATGAATAGCAAAGTGACCAGTGAATCAATCAGATAAACTTACAGGTCTGTTGACAATGTTCAGTGTCTATATCGAGTTTTGCACATGTACAGTATCCATGTAGATGATGTCACTGCTGTCATAATTCCTAAAGATTATAGTTACACATGTGATTTTACATTTAACTATGCTAAACTCATTGTATACATATGAATACATAAAGTTTGATAACTTTTTTGTTTGCTAAAGTATTAAAGAGCAATACCGAACACTTATGTGACTTTCAATATTATGGGTTTAAAAAACGACCTGTTATTTTGTGTATAACATGATCAAATTATAAATGTACATTTATTTACCTAGTAGAACATTGGAAAGAGCAATTGGTTTCTTTATGCTCTATATAGACCATCTTTTAGAAAGGCCCCTGCAATACAAAAAAACAAACAAAAAAAACGCCGATCATAACCTTTTTTGTTTTAACAATGAATCATTATCCATAAACTTTTATTGATTCTTGTACTACCATGGAGCTGTCATATGAGATGAAAATAGTACAGAATTGTGCTTTGTGTCACATGACCATGAGAGAGTCGTAGTCATGTGACACCAGCTGGGCTACTTCCAACAGTGCCTGTCACATGATAAAAGTAACATACAATGTAGAATGTAAGTTAATCATTCATTATTGTGTATGTATATAGTACCATAGTATTATCTCACATCTGATATCAACAGTTTCCCAATACAGTAATTTTTAAGGATAAAGTTGCAAATTATGTGTTTTTTCCATATTGTTGTATTGCAAATTGTGTCTTTGTAACAGTATATTGCCAAAATATCTTATTTCAAGCTAGAAAAAAAGTTCTTTGTGATTAGCATGTTATGTATCCTTAACAGATGAATAATTTTAGATAAAAGTGCCTAACTAAGTAAAAGTAAAGTCTGTGTGACATCTGGTTGCGTTTGCTCTCTTGTTCAGAACTCTCACACAGCTGACAATTTTCCAGGATCAGTCCGAACAACACCATGTGTGACGACAGCATCTAGAGACAAAAAGATAACTCATTCTTTGACTCAGGTCACATGACAAAAGTTAGCATATGTGGCTTGTCATATACAATTCGTTGTATAATTCACACAAATGTCATGCATTATGTGTAATGAAGAAAAATTTACATGTACTCAACATTATTGCATTTCAAATTTTTTCAAAATCTTTAATATTGATAAATACTGACTTTCTCATCTTGTTCTGAGAAAAAGCTCCCTGCACATGTGCTTGGCCTGCTTTTGTTCACAGCCATGACAGCACCTATAACCTGCCAAAATGCAATGGACCAGTCCTTAGAGAGATAAAAACAAATTAACATGCATTACTAAAAAGATATAAAAGACTAACTGGTTATTTAGCAAAATATCATATTACAAATATAAATAATATCATGTAATAAAAAAAAAAGACAGTATATTAATGGATAATCTAAAACTGTCCAACCTCATTTTTGTGGTTCAGGATGGGCACACTGAGAATACTCTTGGGTCTGTCCTCTTCCCTCTCATACGGTTCAATCTGAAATCTCAGATCCTATAAAAACACAGTTCAAATCAATTATTAAGGTGATTCAGTAAACCACATCAATTTAAAACACTGCATCACTATGTTATCTCTGAGGTGATGACAGCGTATGCTGTTTTCACAGGCAAACGTGAGAAATTTCAGAGGTGTAACAGGGTTGGAACCCTAGAGAAGGTTAACGATAAGAGTTAAGTGGCATGTTTATAAGAGAGAGATGCTGGTAAAGGGTTTTTGATCCACCAGACCAAATTAAAATAGAAATTCATACTGGATTAAGCAGGTCTTTTCATCAAACACACGTCTGTGAGATCATTTATGAAGTAAACAAATAAACAATGAAATGTGTCAATAAACAAATATTTTTAAAGAAATTACTGTATCACTGTTTTCACAAAAATATTAAGCACCACTTTTTTTTTTTACATTGCTAATAACAATGTATGTTTCTTGAGTAGAAAATCAGCATATTATAATGATTTTTGAAGGATTATGGGACACTGAAGACTGGAGTAATGACTGCTGAAAATTCAGCTTTGCCATCACAGAAATAAATTATAACTTAATCCATGCTGAAACAGAAAACAGTTGTCTGAAATTGTCTTCATATTTCACAATACTACTGTTCCAACTGTATTTTTGATCAAATAAATGCTGCCTTGGTGAGCCAAGAGACTTCTTTTAAAACATTAATATATATATATATATAACAACTGAAAATAGTAAAGCATTGCAACAATTTCTTCTTCTCTTGTTCTATCCAGCACTACACAAAACCCTATCCTGTTGCATTTTGACTGAAAAAATGCATCATATATCACATAATGTTTTCACACTCTCTCAGAACAGAGACAGCTACACTGCTCACCTTGAGGATCTGCTAAAGTAAGACCTGGCAGAATCCGAATGATCATCCAGCCATGCCTTCACTTTCTCACTTTCCTTTCCCATCCTGAATCCCAGTCTCTGGGTTTTGGCCCCTGGGGTCCAGAGAGGGGAGAAGAACCATCCAAGCACTGGTGATGACACACTGTGAACCCTTCTCTCCATTCTTCCCCTTTTTACCCGACTTAGATCTGGACCCTTGAGACCCCCTACGGCCTGAGGAAACTGCATACCTCCCTTCAGCAGGCAAAGAGGGCAGGGACTCCGTTTGCAGACATGGCATGTTTTCTCTCGCCTATCTTCTCTCCAAAAGAAGATGCAGATATGCAAGCTGCTGGACCTTCCTGAAAGAGCGATAAAAAAGAGATGAAAATCACAGTTGGTGTCCAGGTCAGAGGATTAAGCTTTGCTGTCACCAGCTACACTAACATCTCAACTCTGCACAGAGGAGTTGGAGGCTAATCTGTTACATAAAACGAATCCGTGAAATAACACCAAGAGGTTCTGTTGTGCCCATTCAGGCAACAGGATTAGTGTCCCGGAGAACTATTAATGACTTTGCACTCTTGTCTTTAACCCACTCTACCTGACAAATAGCTATTAGAAAATGTCAAGTGGGCATAAATAGACAAATCTTACATGATCCAGACGCAGATAAATAAGCAAACTGATTAAAGACTGGAACAGAGCATGAGGACATAACGATTACTGAACATGTCAGAGTATATTTAATACATTTAAATGTATTTTATGGCATTTTGTGAAATAACTGTTGCTGCAACAGTCCTGCCTAAACATCTCTTTATAAGTTTATATTTGATATTAGCGCCCTCTACTGGTCTTCTTAAAAACGGGAGGCATACCTGACCTGAAAGACATGACTCATTTTCTGTCAGCTGTACAGATGAAGTTGAATTTTGCATGCGATTCATCGGCCTTCATAAGTATAAGTGGTAAGAATGTACATTATAGTACATTAACTTTTGAAAAGCGTTCACTATACGGTTTTATAACAGATTTGTACTGCTTTTAAACGTTTTTTGTGTGTGCCAGTAGTGGCACCAAATAAAATTGCAAAAATAAAGACTGATTACAACAAGTTTTAGGTTCATAATACTACCGCATCATAAATTACAACGCCTCATGCCTCTCAAATGCGAATTTTGAAGACCCTGTACTTTTTTTTATAACCTTAAAGGTATTGTCATATTTACAACTGCTTGGCGAAATTTCGCGGGTGAAATTGAATCTGCTTAATCGGGGTTTTCCGTGTGAGGCAAAACCTTATTTTGCTCATTAAACGAAAACCACCATTCTAAAAAGAGAGACCTTAATTGCTTAATTAATTTACTTTCATTTTATGTACTGTGAGGTACGACCAGGCCTCTCCTCTTCTTCCTCATCCCTCCTGTGAAAGACAGCCTGTCTCTCTCTCCTCAGCTCTCCTCTGCTCTCCTTCAAGGACTACCGCACTCACGCCTGGAAAAGGACTTACTGCAGCACGACGGATCTACAGATCACTCACACACCTAGATCCTCTTTTTTTTCCCCTCTGCGTTTCTTGTTGCCAGGCAGTGTTGGCTGAGCGTCAGGACATGCGCTCGAGCATGTGTGCGTATGAGAAGGTGCTTTTTTCAGCTGACTGAACTGTGGTTTATTCATCCCGTTTTTTCCTCCCTTTTCCCTGTCCTCGGCACTCATCGTCCTCCTGACAAAGCCGGACCGTATCCCAGGATGCCGTGCGGCAGGCCACTCTGCTAGGCCGCAGCAGCATGGGCAAAGCACCGGGGGGGTGGGACAGCACGGATTGGACGGCTCTGCTCCGGACGGGCGCGCTTACGCACTCCGCCGCTTCCGATGGGTGAGGACAGCGAGAGCCCCAAAATCAATCACAGCTTCCTCCGAGACTATGTCACAGAAGGTATGTGCACACACCTGCATGAACACTCCCTCTTTGCTTAGAAGAGAAAAGCACGTCCCTTCCCATTATACACACTCACGTACTCAACCGTAATTTGATCCTGTTCACCTCTCTGAAGTCCTGAAAATAACCTTCATCTCAGCAGCTGGGCTGTAAGGTCTTCTAATTCAGCTGACTCAGACTTTGGTCCCACCACACACCTATTATTGGGTTACAGCATACATTAGTGAGACTGTTTTCATTCAATTATTGGGCGTTGTGAGCCAGCCAGAATAATGCATGTGCAAACAGAACCAAGACAGTCTTACATTTAATGCATTTGAATAAAAAGCACGTCCCTTCCCATTATACACACTCACGTACTCAACCGTAATTTGATCCTGTTCACCTCTCTGAAGTCCTGAAAATAACCTTCATCTCAGCAGCTGGGTGGTAAGGTCTTCTAATTCAGCTGACTCAGACTTTGGTCCCACCACACACCTATTATTGGGTTACAGCATACATTAGTGAGACTGTTTTCATTCAATTATTGGGCGTTGTGAGCCAGGTAATTTTTTTTCACTGATAAATTAACACAAACCTCTATTTCTTTGTAGCTGATGTCATTTCTACAGTGGAGTTTAACCAGACGGGGGATCTGCTGGCCACAGGGGATAAAGGGGGGCGAGTGGTCATCTTCCAGAGAGAGACAGAGGTAGGTCAAATTGTGAGCAGAGCACTGCAGTGGGGGATTGATAATTGGGGAATAAAGCAGTGTTTTTAAGTAGGGGAGTGAATATATGGTGAGCAGTTTGACTTTATGGGAGGGGAAGAGCAAAGGTCATAATGATTAAAAAATGCTGTGCTGCCAAAAATATTACATACACTTTTAACATGCATTTTGTAGCTCTGTAGCATAGGGTGCTGAATATGCATGAGGTGATTTTAATTTCCATTGCCCAAAGAGCCTTATGACAGAATTGAAATGGATCTGGTTTAAAATACTTCTTAAAGACATAGTATCAGATATTGACTTTGATATAGAGCAATCTGGTTCACAGACCAGGCCTTCTTTGAACCAGTGAATTTTCTATGTATTAACCCAGATTTTAACCTAGATACTGAACAAAACACATTGTTTTTATGTGATAACTCACACTTAAAGTGGGTTCACCCACTTAAAGATCAGACCCTCTGTTTATTTGCTCTTTTAAAGGACATTTAAACAAGCAATACTAGCAATAATATGCTTAGAATGACAAACAACAACAGAGTTAACTTAAAAAGGGAATGTCTTATTTAAATATCATATAGATTGCATAAACCAAATTTTAATTTGCTAGAAGGTATTTTTTATGAAAGTAATATTATGATATATATTCAGCAATGTTTTAAACATGAATTTATGTACATAAGCATATGCATTGTATATGTACTTGGGTCTTCTTTCTTACTGCAGTCTAAAGGTGAATCTGAGGAGCTGGGAGAATCGGGTGAGTATAATGTCTACAGCACGTTCCAGAGTCACGAACCGGACTTTGACTATCTGAAGAGTTTGGAAATTGAGGAGAAGATCAATAAGATTCGCTGGCTGCCACATCAAAACGCTGCCCACTTTCTCCTCTCTACCAACGGTAATCACACCACTTCCTGTCCATCAGGAGTTAAACTAGCCTCATATTTGTCAATGTAATCCTCCTAATTACACGATGAGCCATTCATTACAAGAGGGTCATCATTTTAGGCCGAATATTAAAAGGCATTGTATTTATTTTGTGCAAGAAATAAAATAGTTGAAATAGTTGGGCTGAATTGCATTTCACATTGCTACTATCTGTAAGTACCAATGAATCATAAGACATTTTTAATAGTAACATAAGCATGAACAATGCTTATCAAGACCACTTGCATTAAATATGCCTTTCAAAGCCACAGAAATATGTATTGATGTTTTAGCATGAATAGCTGGTAATTTCTCAGACATGTTCCAACAGATAAAACTATAAAGTTATGGAAGGTGAGCGAGAGAGACAAGCGGCCAGAGGGCTACAATCTGAAGGACGAAGAAGGGCGAATAAAGGACATCTCCACCGTGACCTCATTACGGGTATTTTCACACCTGGCATATTCAATCCAGTGCAGATGGAGGGTTTGATTTATTTAGTTATTTATCATTTGTTTTAGTCACTGATTTTGTCATGCTCTAAAAAAATGAACATACACAACTCTCTGGAATACATTTCTGATTGGTCAATCAATGCATTCTGTGGTTAAATATTTTTGTATAATGGCTGCTAAATTGTATATTTGACAGCTGACATTATCAACCTGCTTGCAGTATCTATTTCCTGCATAAAGTATCTGTGCTAGGTTCTCATATAACTCCCTGGGTTATTTCTTCGCACATGCTCGATGATAGCTCAAATCAATATTTCAAGTCCAGTTTTGTTTTTTGTTTTTTTGGTAAGTAGTGGTGTAATAAGCCAGATAATTTACAATTAGTTGGTCATTATCTCAAAATATAATTTTTTTAGGGTAATATGAGATGTGATCAGGGTCCTGATCACGCTGTGATAATACGATAACCTAAAAATAAATAACTTTAAACAGAAATTAAATGAATTAATGAAACCAATATGCACTGTTTTTAAAATTTTAGATTGTTTAGATTGTTACCCTAATTTTGAGTAGGTGATCTAAAATAAAAGAAGACTTCTGATGCAAAAATGTCATTTCCTTCAAGGTGCCGGTCCTGAAGCCCACTGACCTGATGGTTGAGGTGCGGCCGAGGAGAATCTTTGCCAACGGCCACACCTACCACGTCAACTCCATCTCAGTCAATAGCGATGGCGAGACATATCTGTCTGCTGATGATCTCAGGATCAACATGTGGCACCTGGATATCACAGATCGAAGCTTCAGTATCCTTTATGTCTATCCTTCTGCCTATTCACTCACAGACAAAATATAAGATAAAATGCAACCATCGTGACTCTTTAAACTGGCTTATATAAAATCAAATAATTGGGACAGAGGCATAAACGTTGCATGCAGTATAAAACTGGTTGCTTACGTTTCTTTGTGTTCTTGTGACTGGACTGAAGGCAGAGGGTTTTGTGTTCCAGATTGCGCAGCTGCTCTTCTTTTGAGCAGGGCTCTGACCTAGAAATAAAATATCTATGGAAACATTTAAATAATTCACCAAGGAAACACTCTCCTCTAAAACACATAATAGCTGCCTTCAGGAAAATTGTAGGTTGTGTGCATGTGATGCGTAGTGCTTACTGAGTAGATGTGTGTGGATGAACATGTATGTGTGCGTGTGAGTGCTCAGAATGATAATCATATAACTGTACAGCTTTACACCAATCAGGGAGCTGATGATACATAGTTTATAAGCCCCCACTATCAGAATGTGCTTTTAGTTTTAGACCTTATGCGATCTCTGTTTCTTAAAAGGGGAACTAAAGTACCAAAAAAATATCATAAAAGTGGTCAATATGACTCATGAGCTATATTTCAAGTCTTCTGATACCATACAATATTTTTGTGAGAAACAGACCAAAATTTAAGCTGTTATTCACTGAAAATCTTGACATCTGCATGAGTTCATGAAAGAATTAGGAGTCTCAAACAGAGAAGAGAGCTTTCAGAGCTGTAAATCAGAAATTCTCCTTGACCCCTCCCCCTTTCAGACATTGTGGACATTAAGCCAGCTAATATGGAGGACCTGACGGAGGTAATAACAGCTGCAGAGTTCCACCCACAGCACTGCCACCTGTTTGTATACAGCAGCAGTAAAGGCACGTTACGCCTCTGTGACATGAGAGAGTCGGCACTCTGTGACAAGCACTCCAAAAGTAAGTATATGCTTTTTAAGCGCTTAGACTGCATTACTACCTACATTACCTTTCAAAAGTTTGGGGTCAGTAAGTTTTTTTTTTTTTTTTTAAACAGATTAATACTTTTATTTGACAAGGATGCATAAATTGACCCAAAGTTACAGTAAAGACATATATTATATAAGTTTACAAGATATATATATTTATGCAGTTGTTGTTGTTTTTTTTACTTTCTGTTCATCAAAAGAATCTTGAAAAATAATGCATCACAGTGTTCACAAAATATGAATGAGAAATGATTCTTTAGCACCAAATCAGCATATTAAAATGATTCTGAAGGATCACTGAAGTGACACTGAAGACTGGAGTTATGTCTGCTGAAAATTCAGCTTTGCCATAACAGGGTAAAAAATACATTTTAAAAGACAGTTTTAATTGTAATGATATTTCATAATATTACTGTTTTACTGTATTTTTGATCAAATAAATGCAGCCTTAGTGAGCATAAGAGACTCAGAGAAAATACTCAGAGAAAATATAAGAACAGAAGACACAGAAGAACAGCTGTGCTAGCTGCTGGGGAAATTAGCACTGTGGCAGATGTAGTGAGATATACACTTACAGCTGCATTAAAAGACAAGCAGACCACAGTGTTAAAGATGTTTCATTGTTGTCATTAAGTGTAAAACCATTGAAACGGTTTCCCAGCACACTCAGACTTTCAAGTGCATCTGACGTATCTTTTCTCCACTTTTAGTCTTTGAGGAGCCAGAGGACCCAGGCAATCGATCTTTCTTCTCTGAGATCGTCTCGTCGGTTTCTGACGTTAAGTTCAGCCATAGTGGACGCTATCTGCTCACCAGAGACTACTTGACTGTCAAAGTATGGGACCTCAACATGGAGAAGGGCCCAGTGGAGACCTACCAGGTGGGCAACTTGCAGGTCTTTGTAAACAATACCATAAACATATGATATTTACAACATATATGCTAGGCTAAACTATTTCTGGCTGATTTGAATTTTTTTCCCCTTGTGCAGTAAGACACTTTTTATACTTATATTCTAGTGAATCAGTTCAACCTAAATGGTCCTCTCCTGTGAGGTGTTGGAAAGTTAGTGTTATTTATATACTATTATAGTATTTATTTAATTAACGTTTAGTACTTTTGTTATAAGCTTTTGTCATTTTTATTGCATTTCTTTAATATTTGTATTTAGCTTTATTTTTATTTCAGTCTTATTTTTTAGCAATTTTAACACTTCAGCTTAAACTTATTTTATTTCTGTTAGTTGCCAAGGCAACATTTCTAATCTGATAGTTAAATGTGATTTTATTTCATCTTTATTTTGATTAACAAAAACATTGTTAAATATTTGTAATTTTACTTAGCAATACCAACACTGATCGAAGTAGATTCTCATGGACAATTTATGTAAATGAACAGATTCAATAAATAATTAACTGATTTGAGTCCCTGTGCTCCATTTTCCATCTTCTTTATTTTTATAGCAAAATATTTAGTCATATTCTGCTGTGCATCACTGTTTTTAACTCTGTTATTTAAATTAGGGTGTATTCTTGTTTTTAGTATAAATATATATGAGCATTTCTTTATGTGTCAGGTGCATGAGTACCTAAGAAGCAAACTCTGCTCTTTGTATGAAAACGACTGCATCTTTGACAAGTTTGAGTGCGTCTGGAACAGCACAGACAGGTAAGCATTTCTGAGGCCTTGAATAATCATATTTTATGCAATATAGGCTTATTTCCTGTTTTATACTCATACCCTCTTTCTCTCCCTTCCTACTTTCTCTCTCGTATTTCCATTATGGTTTTTATCCTATTGATTTGCTGATTTGTTCCTCTTCCAAACTCTTTTTCACTCCGCATACCCATTCTGGTTTATACCCATCATGCTTACCGTACCCCCTTCAAGTGTAATCATGACAGGAGCGTATAACAGTTTTTTCCGGATGTTTGATCGTGAGACCGGTCGCGGTGTAACCCTCGAGGCATGGCGTGAGAACAGTAAACCGCGCGCCGTGCTGCGGACTCGCCGTGTTTACACCGGGGGCCGGCGTCGCCGGGGTGACGTGGGCGTGGACAGTCTGGACTTCACTAAAAAAATTCTGCACATGGCTTGGCACCCGGCTGAAAACATCATCGCCATCGCAGCCACTAACAACCTCTATATCTTTCAGGACAGGGTCAGTGTGGAAAACCAGTGACAAGAGACATGTAACGGGGTAATGCAGTAATGCTCTTCACAGGGCCACACACACCAACATGCATTCAAATCATGCACATGCATTAAATTTATCCTTTAAAACAAATATTATTGGTCCTGTGAAGATGGACGTAGTTGCCAGACCCCAAAAGTAAACAGATGAACTTTGCAGTTAAGCCGTTCCAGGAGAGCAGTTATGTATAGCTAGTGACTTTAACTGATAACTGTTTGGTTAGTTACACCGCCAAGAATGTTGCCAATGAGCTACGGTGCATGGAATTTATGATTGCCATCACAGTCAGCCAATCTTTTGCTTTGATATGTGATGGATGGTGTTGCCGGCCAATCCCTGACTGCGCTGATCTGTGATTGACAGCTGTTTGGATAAAGGGCGGTGCCTTTGGGCTGAAGACCAGGAATGAGACCACTCCACTCCTCTGTGCCAGGCTGCCATGGAGACAGGTTACTCAGTTGCCATGGTAACAAGAGTGCTCTGAGCAGTCTTCCTATCACGTGCTTCCCAAAAACCTATCCCACAATGCATCTGCTACACTAGCACTCATTTTACTTCACATTGAATCGACCGTTTGTGGAGACTTGATTGCCTATATGACCAAATCACTATATCTCGCACTTGGAGAAGGTTTAAATTCCAGTACTTGTCTGGTGTATTCTATCAGAAGGATTGAACCACTACTTCATCAAAACACTGTCTTAATCTGGTTACACCTCATGATGGGTTATATTTACACCTGTATGGTAAGAAAAGCATTGGTTTGTCTCTCAAAAAAAAAGAAAGAAAGAAGAATGAGGGTATATCACACTGCTAACACGCTTTCAAAAAATCCTTCTGTAGTGCTGTGCAAAGAAACTGACATGAGTCAGGAACTCAGGATCAAACTCTGATCTGGTTTCTGGTTATGCAGAGTTCTGGGCTCTCACAGTGAAGCACTGCCTTTTTATTTATGATTGTAGCTACTATACTGATCCCTCAAAAGGAAATGTCATGTAGGAAGTATAGATGAAAAATTTAGTGACAGGCTACAAAACAGTACAGAAATACATGGAAATCAGTTGGTTAATTTAAAGGATATTTTGGCATCAATGATTTACCACAAACAATAATTCTGACACATTCTTCTATTTGTTTAATTGTAAAAAAAATCGTAGAAAAAAGTACTTTCAGTGGAAGTCTGTGGGACATTCGGAGGGTTTAATAGCAAACTTTTGCAGCTTGTATGTTTGTTAAAGTGCTTATATGAGTGGTTCTCAATGTTTGACTCCAAGGCCCCTCATTTTCCACAAGAATATCCAAAAACCCCATGACTTTTCCAGGTGTTCGTGTTTAACTCACAATTTATACCCAATATTTTAGAGCTTGGCATGGCTAGAAAACAATGTATATTCATCATAATGAATGTTGTAGTTTTAGGATTTTATTAATTTACATGACTCATGCAGGTCTAGAAATCACACTTTTAAAGTAGGCTTCCTCATATATTCAGATTTAACAAAATTGTAGGAATGCTGGTTCTTTAAATACAGTTGAATTAGAACAAAAATATCTTGAGTTGTACTTGTGCTCATTTTAGTTTTGGCTCATTTTAATGCTTGTTTTGTGGCTATTCGTTGTTGTTGTTGTTTTTCTTGCTTTGCTAATGCCTTGCTCCCTGGGCTTCCATTGTAAGTGCAAGAACATAGTTGAGGATGTGTCAAAATTGCGTTTTGTGGCAACATGACAAATAGCTTATCTTGTATTGAATTTGGAACCATCATTCCAACATGTACCAGTGGATAAATCATTTCTACACTGTTTTCTGTGACCACACAGGTGTACATGTATCTCTCTATCCACTGTAGAAAGAACATGGTGAGTTATTTTTCATTTAAGGTGCCATTCACCTTCTGAGTGACTGTTTGTTTGGTGTAGATGTGGTAATGAATTGTTGGGTGTCTGTGTAGACTGTGACACAAAGGACAGTGATTGTTTTTGCTATATGAACAAGGCTGAATGAATGTAACTGTCAAACACATGTTTTTAATGAATCCATTTTTAAAGTGTTATGATGTTAACGGGGTGCTCTCAAACTGACGAGCGAGCTTGCTTGCTTGCTTTTCTCATTTTTGTCCTTCTTCTGTCTTTTCCGTTGTTCACGTGTTTCCCTGTCCCATTTTTCTAGTACTCTTTGCTCTACATATACTGAGGCTGTGCCTCTTACAATCAGTTCCTCCACTCTTATTTTTACATTTGTAGTTCATTCACATCATTTTTGTACCCTGAGACAATGACTGCTTTTTTTCACTCTGTTCCTCTTTCTCTCTCACTCTTTCGTTCTCTTACATCCTGTTACCATGGCGATAGGCCTTCTGCCATTATGCATTCTCTCATGCTTTCCTCTCTCAGACATGCAGTGAAACACACACTCTCACATTCACAATGCACCCAGGGAATAATAGATTGAGTTTTTCAGGGCACACACACACTCTCTCTCACACACACACGCACACACAAACAGGCCTATACATGCAAGCATACACACAAAAACGCATGTTTATCATTATCCAGTGTTACTAATGTGTATATCTATGATGCCTAAACATATTCTATTGACACTTAATGGAAAAATAAAAGAGGCAAATGGAGGAATGTGATTAAATTAATATGACCTCTGTATACCCGCTTAGATTATACAGTTTTTTTGTCATAGTGTTGTTTCTCAGTCTCTCTGTCTGCTTCTGGGTATTTAACACACACACACACACACACATCTGATATGCTTATAGTGAACTAAATGCATGCAACTATGCAGCATCAGACCTTAGAAGGACAATAATTGTGAAAGGCACTTTAATCCATTTTCACAAAAACACTGTAAACAGGTTTTACATCCAAATGTCATAAAACCTCTCAGGAAAACATCTGTGTGGAGAGATGGTTTTTCCATATAACAAACAGTGACCATCATCAGAGTGCCAAAAAAAAGGTTATTTCAACTAACAAATAAAAGATAGAGGCTCATGTTCACAGAAACACTTCATTTGATAAATATTTTGAATACTAAACAAGTATTCCATGCTTTCTTATTCATGACAAAAATAAATAAATGTTTGAAACAAAAATGTGAATAAAGATCAATTGCACACGGATCGTAATCATAAATGAGTTGTGAAGGTCAGAAACGTGTTAGATCAGATCTGGTGGTTACATGGGATCTGGTGGTTTAGGATAAAAAGCAAGGAAGATGCTGCATATCACTTAACTAAAAATGTGAAATGAAACCCTAACAATCTTGGGCACAGGACAAAAAGGGCCGGTTCACACAGAGCACCTTTTTTTTCACTGTGCTGCTTTTTAATCATTTTTGTGTGTAAACATGCGAGATAGATGTCTTTGGTTGTTGGGTCACATCTTAATGCTTTTTCGTGCGTAATTTTCTCCTGTTTGTAAAAGCAGAGAATGTTAATTTGAGCAAAGCTTGCTAAAAAAAAAACATGGTTAAACTATGGAATGAGAGCAATTGAAAAACACTCAATTGATAATACCTAAATTATTAATTTGTAACATTTGTAAATGATGACAGAAATTAATTTTGGAATACCTATTTCTTTACAGACAGTTTACATTCACTTTTAGCATTTTATAATGTACATTAAAATAGAAGTCTCATGAACCGGTCAAAAGTTTAAAATAATTAGGGTTTTTTTATGCTGCTGTAAAAGCATTTACCAAGGCTGCATTTATTTGGTCAAAAATACAGAAAAAAAAAACAATATTAAGAAATATTATTACAATTTAAAATAACAGTTTTTATTTTAATATATTTGAAGACAATTTATTCCTGTGAAGCTGAATTTTCAGGAGCCATAATTCCATTCTTCAGTGTCACGTGATAATAACTGACCATCAAATCAGCATATTGGACTGATTTCTGAAGGATCATGTGACTGAAGACTGGAGTAATGATGCTGAAAATCTTTTGCCATCACAGGAATAAGGTTTAAAATGATTTATAATATACTGAAATAGAAAATAGTTATTGTAAATTGTAATCATATTTGACAATATAACTGTTTATACTCTATTTTTTAATCTAACAAATGCAGCATAGGTGAGCATTGGAGACTTTTTTTTAAAAAACATAAAAAAATATGTTCCAAACTTTTGAGCAATAATGTAACTCCGTGATTCTAAGAATACTCATATTTGAGTGCACAAATATCAAAGCATTAACAATTTTATAATAGCTGCAGAAAAGAATCCGCCTAATTTAATACATGATCAAACATACATTTCCATCATTTTCCACAACAAAAATACATGATTTCTAATATAACATAAAAATTATGTATTTATTCATTTTAAACTGTTTGGATTTTGACAGCTCTTTCAAATTCATCCCTTTTGTTGAATAAGAAAAAACTCTTCAACTGTAATTTAGATTTCTATATCTGTGATCTTTCTTCCTTACACATTGATCCTAGCACAGAGAAAGGGAGCAAAGAAGAAGTCAAATGCAAATTGAATGGCTTTAAGCATGGTTTTCCTCCAGTTCCGTTCAATCTTAACCTGTCGTCCCTCAGGCCCCAATGGTGAGCTGCAGTCCAGACAGTGTATGGCTTTCAGTTCAAATGCGGGTAGTTTGGTACCCAATTTCCCTTCCAACTTTGTGCTGAACTCTGCCATGCTGCCTGGATCAAGGTTCAGCAGCACCTGTCTAAACTCGTGACTCGCCATTAGGAGGATGTCACCTGCCGGATCGTCAAGTTGCATGACCCCATCCACCGGCATGCCGACCGTCACCTCAAAGCGGTAACTGTCGAAGCATTTAACATGGCATTTGTGTTTAGCAAAGGCCTTTATCCGACAGAGCTCCTCCTCTTCCTGCTGGAGGAACAGCATTGTGGCGTTGACAGGCACGACTCCTGTGCCATTCACAACTGGAGACATATTATTCTGCGGTTCACACTTTGGATAAACCTCACCGTAGAGACACCGCAACCAGTCTCCCATAAACACCGGTAGCAAGTTTATAACAGACTGAGCTCCATTTTCCTTCTCAGCTACGCGAACACAACAGAATATTCCTGTCCAGGTGACACGATGGCCTTCCAGATGGCTGCAAAAGAGCTGTGTTTGAGCCATACCGCGATCCTGCCAGGCACGTGGGCTGCACAGTGTACCATATTCCTGCCAGGTGAGTGTGGAGTTATAAACCTTCAGACCTTCAGCATTACAGACATAGACACCGCAGAGTAAAATCACTGTAGTGATGCACAGGAGGATCAGTTTCACCGGACCTCTGTGGGTTATGGAACGGAAGACATTAAGAATGGAAAGGCTGAATCGAGTCCAAAGCCGCAGGATCAACAGGGACGGCGCACACTGCCAACATCACCAGCATTTTAGTCAGCTCCAATTCCAGGAACCACTTAACCATCTGAATCAGCAGCATCGCTATCAGACCCATAGCCAAGACAGGTAAGGTGAACAGGAAGAGGAAACAGGCCAATGGTGGTGGAGTTCCGCAGCAGAACCACAGAGAACTCGCACCACACAAAGCAGACCAGGTACAGCACCAGGAAGCAGTACGTCCCTTTAAATTCCCTCACGCGTGCCATACTAGAAATTTCAAAAAAGAGGTCTGGTTAGTCATATTAAAACACCAGTATCAAAATATATAATACTAACTTTATGATTTAGTTGAGGAAACTTGTTAAGTTTTGATCATGCACATACATTTTTATGCTTTGCAAACTGGTTTTCTGTGACATTTGGTTGTGATGTTGGCTTCTGCTAGATAACATTATCTAGCTGGCTAGCATAGATGAATAACCATCTCTTGGTTTTGTCGAAATTGCAAGAATTAATTGTCATAGTCTTGATAGCATAAGCAAGAATTTGAAAAATACCTAATTACTAATGATTTGAAAATTACTTATCAGTCAGTAATGTTTTGTTAAAAAGTGTAAATTAAATTTCTTGTTTAACTATAGTACCAAGCTACAGCAAACACATTAAAAATATACATTCAAATAATTCATGTGCCTTAAAAAAATAATTCATGAGCCTTAAATTTCTCAAATGAACTTTAGAAATCATATATCAAATACCCCAAAATCATAAATCTTGTGCATAATAGAGCTTTTGTTTAGAGTGTAGTTTGCTTCGATCACAACATTAAAATTAGACTACATGAAATCTACATTGCCCATCACCCCCTGCATCATTTTGACGAACAATAATAACTGGCCTAATATCCCAGAGGCTCAAAGCCAGACTGAGTATCATATAACCATATCTAATCTTAGCCTGAACGCTAAACCCTGATTATTAAACCATGGTAAGAGGTTTACAGTTGGCCTTTAACAACACAATAACAGATTAGTGCAAAATAATTAACAGAAAGTGAACTATGCTGTCAGATGTTTGGCCCATCTACTAGACTAGATCTCCATTCTCTGTAATGCTTTATTTACTTGAGGCTAATTAGCCAATTATGAATGAGAACAGTATAGGTGTGGAATTCATTTTGAAGAAAAGGGGAATTGGAGTACTCAAAGCTGAGTCCAAATATGTAGATGCATTTGGTCTGACTTTGAGTGTATGAGAATATGTACACGCAGAAGCAATTGAGTTATACTGAGACTGGGATCATCTTCCAGAAAGCTGAAAATAGACACACTCAACACACTTTTAAGGCAGACAGAAACACTACAGAATTTCATCTGTATATAATGCACTGCGGATTGTTTAAAATATTATAGCTACATTATAAACACTTGTGTTTATTATATTGAGAAGAGCTTCACACAGAGCCAATAGCATCACAATGGTTTAAGTTCCAAATTCACAACCATAATGTTTAATCAAGTAAGGCCTTTGAAGAAAGGAACCCGATTGTCGAATAGGATTTAGTCCCCTTTTATAATTTACATAAGTTATGAGATATAATTTCTGCTTATTAGTTTATATGTTCATAATTAG